TTTTTTAAATACTAGAAAAACTTGGATATATTGACTATTATAAAACTCCGTTCACAGGATCTACATTCTATTTAGTAGTTTTCATTCCGAATTTGCTTAATATGTCTTGTGATTTTAGTCTAACCTCAATTGAAAAGTTGAGGTTTCTTTCTAATTTTTGTTTTTAATGCATTTACATATTTGAAATCAATGCTAGTTCTCAGACTTTTCAATTTTTTTGCATTTTCCACATAGCGTTCAGAAGTTTGGGGTCAGTAAGATTTAAAAAAAGAAAGAAATTAATGCTTTTATAAAGTATTGTTTTGATCAGTAAATACATTTATATCTGTAATGTTAAATAAATGATGTTCTTTTTCATTTTCTATTCTATTTTCTATTTTATTCTATTTGAAACAAAGCTATCATTGCCTACACAAAAATATTAATAATAAGAAGAAATGTTCTTGAGCATCTGATTTCTGAAGGATCATGTGACACTGAGGAGTGGAGTAATGATTCAACTTTGCTATTACAGGATTTATATTAGATTAAATTATTAATTAGATTATTAGATTAAACAATTTTAAATGGTAATAATGTCACAATACTACAGTTTTTACTGTGTTTTTGATTAAATAAATGCAGCCTTGGTGAGCATGAGACTTCTTTCAACCCCAAACTTTTGAGTGGTAGTGTAGCTTGGTCACAGAGGTGTTTGAACTAATTTTTCTTAGATTAATACTTTCAATGCTCCACATCTAAAAAAAAAAAGCCTATCACTGCCAATCCTGCATCCTAGAAAGCATCTGCCAAAGCTTTGCATGACCCATCTCATCCTGTTTCAGGATGTGCTGTATTGTGTCACATTTTACCGGCTACACCTCATTCTCAGCCTGAATGTTCCACTTTTGTGCTGAAGATAATGACTGATCATTGTTATGAAAAAATGTGCTAACAGACTTGTGATATCGGACTGCACCCTTTGCGCTCTTGATTATTGTGTGTGTCTGTGTCAGACTGAAATGGAAGGCATCGAGGCGACGCAGGGCATGTCGTCTGAGACGGCCGTGATCTTTCTGACCCGGCTGATGTCCATGGTCGATGTGCTGGTCTTTGCGAGTTCACTCAACTTCAGTGAGATTGAAGCTGAGAAAAACATGTCCTCAGGTGGACTAATGCGACAGTGCCTCAGACTAGGTGTGTGTATATGTGTGTGTGTGTGTGTGTGTGTGTCAAGACACATTTTAAAGAAGAAAACACCTAAAGCCATTTAGCATACATTTCCTTTATGCTGAACACCTTTAGACTCTTCCAACCAACTTTCTGACTTTATTCTTCAGTCAATTTATCAGTTTAAAAATTTTTTTTTTTTAAAAAGCATTTTAATATTGTATTTGTATACTCTTGTATATTAAAATGGTCAGTATATTTTTGGTCAGTATCACAAATTTGCTTTTATGATTAAAGACTTAGAAATCCTAAATGTTATTGCAGAATTTAAATTATTCATTTTGTCATATTTTCCTTATTTTTTCCTTTAGTATAGATTTTTCATTATATTATATTATATTATTTTATATTATAAACTATAGTCCATTTATCACACACACACATATACAGTGGGTACGGAAAGTATTCAGACCCCCTTACATTTTTCACTCTTTGTTATATTGCAGCCATTTGCTAAAATCATTTAAGTTAATTTTTTTCCCTCATTAATGTACACACAGCACCCCATATTGACAGAAAAACACAGAATTGTTGAATACTGAGCAAAGGGTCTGAATACTTAGGACCATGTGATATTTCAGTTTTTCTTTTTTAATAAATCTGCAAAAATGTCAACAATTCTGTGTTTTTCTGTCAATATGGGGTGCTGTGTGTACATTAATGAGGAAAAAAAAATTACTTAAATGATTTTAGCAAATGGCTGCAATATAACAAAGAGTGAAAAATGTAAGGGGGTCTGAATACTTTCCGTACCCACTATATATATATAATTTTATTAAATATTTTAATCATGTATACTATAAACAAAGGAAGAATATTTTTGTTCACATAGTCAATATCACAAATTTGCTTTTAAGATTAAAGACCTTGAAATCTTTAATCTTAAAAGAAAATTTTGCAGAATTTGAACTATTTTATCATAATGTTTCTTTGCTCGTTTTCCCTTTAGAACTTACTATTTTATTTGTTATTTTTTTGCTAGGACACATTTTAAAGACCATAACAGGAAAAAAAACCTCAAGACGTTCAGCATAAATTTCCTATGACACACTTCCAACTATTTTTTTTCCTCAGTCAATTTACCGGTTTTAGTGCTGTTCAAGAAAAAAACTAGAGAGACAGGTTTAAAAACACATGTAAGCAATAAGGTACAAGCAGGATTGCTGCTTTAATTCAAGGGGCCCATATATTGGAACACTATATTAATCAACCAGCACCTAGAATCAAAACTATTCAGTTTTTATAGTTTATTTAATTTAATTTTATTTAATTCTCTCTTTGTCGATTTTTCTTCATTTATATTTTGTGCTCTTTCTTTCTCTCTGTCTCAGTATGTTGCGTAGCTGTGAGGAACTGTTTAGAGTGTCGTCAGCGTCAGAGGGACAGAATTCTGAAGTCCACCCTGTCCTTCAGTAAGTCTCAGGAGGGCCTGCAAGGCGTGTCCATGGCCAGCAAGGTACCCACTTTACTGTTATACTGCATCCAAGCACTGTACACAGTTTCTGTAATATCACTATGCAGTTAGGGTAGCGTTCTTGTTGCAAGTGTTTTATACATAAGTTGATATCTATAATTTATATAATTTAAATAACCTAAAAAATACTTGAAATGTATGTAGTTTATGACACAATTACTTAAGTCATTGTTTTAAGATTTATTTTTATATAAATGCATAATGCAATTGAACTAATCTACTCTGTGTTCAAGCCATCTTTCTTAAAGACTGAAAGTACAGTATGTTGTGTCTTGCCACATTCGTTTTTTTCCACAAAATGTAACATTGTCACGTTATGTGTGATTTGCGCTGTGGGTATGGTGTGAATTTGTAATTGAGATCTGCAGTGTGAGAACTGTTAAATTAAATTAAAGTGTTAAATGTCTGTTTGAAATGTCTGCTTTTCTTGCCTTAGACCACCATAGAAAATTTTCCAAGTAATGTTTCTCCAATTAAGGACCCGGACCGACTTCTGCAAGACGTGGACATCAACCGCCTGCGAGCTGCTGTCTTTCGTGATGTTGTGAGTTAATGTCAAATCGTCCTCAAATGCCCTTTGAAAGAAGTGTACACACTGTAGACCAGTGGTTCTCAAACTTTTTACAGCGGCGTACCCCCTGGGGCATTTAACATTCTTCTGCATACCCCCTCTCTTCCACTTAGACCGCTGTTACACCTTTTCTATTAAAGGACAATATTTGCCCCCTTAAATTGATTTACAGGTGCATTTTTTTTCCTTTATAGAGGCAAATATTTTCTGTCCTTATTAAATGTATGTCATGTTTTATGTTATATTCTTAACATTCCATTAAGTGTATTATTAATATAATAAATAAAGCAATAAATGATGGCAAATCGAAGTGATACTTCGATACAATTCCCTTCTTAATGAGTCAGGCGTCACGTCATTCATTCAGTAACAAAGTAAAATGCTGTAGTTATGAATGGGTTATTAATCACTGACTCTCCAAATCGTTCAAAGCCGCAGATTCATTCACTAATGAAACACCGCTGTATGCTGCTTGGAGAAGCACACCATATGATATGGATTTTGTTGGAACTATTATTTCATTGAGAAATAGAACAAGCATGACAATATTCTGTTTAAAATGTAGGCTACATTTAAAATGTAAAATGTTCACTTAACATTACCTTTTTTATGTTGAACTGTTGTAAAAAATGAATGGCACATTTGCCATCATTTGTGTATTCAGGGTAATTTTCATTCTTGCTCGTATCTTAAAAATGAAACAATAACATGCACAGAGTGTGTCTGTATCGAAGAGTTTAAATCGATCTCAGTCCGTGTCAACATTTGCTCTTCATGCTATTAAGTGAAGATCTACTTTAAGATACATTGAACAGCAGCGCGATTTTCTAAAGCAGCATATTCAGCAGGCATCCCATCACGTGCATGCTGCTTGTGTGGATGCAGTCACTTTTGCCCGCAAAAGATGAGGTAAGCAGATTGGATATCATGTATTTGACCGTTTACGGCACTCCCGTTTTCCTGTTTTTACATTAGAAGTGGCCTTTTGCTTGTCAGAAATACATGTTCGGTTTTAATGTTACTTTAAGTTGGGGTAGAATTAAATGAATGCCAAAACTCAGAATTTTGTTCGCGTACCCCCCACCGTCATCTCACGTACCCCCATGGGTACGCGTACCCCAGTTTGAGAACCACTGCTGTAGACGATGTAAACATGTAGACATACACACAAATCATACACACAGAATCTTTTGGTTCATATGGTCAATATATCACAAATTTGCTTTTATGATTGAAGTTGAAATCACAAATGTTGAAGTAAAATTTACATGATTTATTTTGTTACTTCGCTTGTTTTTTTTCTTTAGAACTTATGTTTTATAGTACTTAATACTTATATGCTTATATAAGTAATATATTATATATAAGTAATAATTAAATTATTTAAAGTTATTTATTTAAATATTTTATATATTTTTTTCAGGTTAATATTAGATTTTTAATTACAGATTGGTTTTGTTCATTTATTTTTCTATCACCATTTCAGAAATGTCACTCTGTTAACTCTGCACTAACAAAACATAATCAGTTCAGAGTAGCATTTCTGCTTTGCGTGACATGTTTTAGTCGCATATTGACTCTTCTTCATACCATTAGCTCAACCCTCTCCATTACCAGTAAATCACTCGCAAATGCGACTAAATCTTACTCTGGGCGACTAAATAATGTTTTACATTAGCCATTGGCTAATAAATTCTTAGATTTTACTCGCCAGTATGTGTGTGAGAGGCGTTACCAAGTTTTAGTTCTAATCACTAGTTCTATCATTAAATAGTGCTTAATTATCATAATATAATGCTTGGTTGGCTGAAGTTAAGAGAGCACATTCAGTTATTTAAGAAGCTTTTCCATTTTACAAATATAAGCTGATTGGGTGAAATCATGTGTGTGTGTGTGTACCTACTTTGCTCACTTTTGAGTACAAATTTGTCCCCAAAATATGGTTAAACCTGACAAAATCGACAAAAAACTCAATTTGTGGATGTCCTCATTTGTCAAACTGTTAAAATAAAGTAAACAAAGTTTTTTTTTTTTACTTTTGAAATTGTAAAAATGCAGAAAGTTTTCTGTGAGGGGTAGGGGTAGGATTGGGTTTAGGTTAAAAAGTGTATAACTATCTGTATATAAAAACAATAGAAGTCTATGTAATGTCCCCATTTAGATAGCTAAGTAAACGTGTGTGTGTGTGTAAAATAGTATATTAGTCTGGCGAGTAAACAAAAAATTAACTAGCCAATGGCAATTATATTGCCAAGGTGTGCGTAGAGGGTTGTAGTCTGGCGAGTAAACAAAAAATTAACTAGCCAATGGCGATTATATTGCCAAGGTGTGCGTAGAGGGTTGTAACTGCTATTGTGTTGTGCTCCACAGGATGACAGTAAGCAGGCCCAGTTCCTGGCTCTCGCTGTTGTCTATTTTATCTCGGTGCTGATGGTGTCTAAGTACCGGGACATCTTGGAACCCGAGGCGGAGATGGTCAGGTCTATCAGCCAATCAGGAAGAGGCATTCGGCAGGAGATATATTCCCCCACCAGCACAGGTGTTGTAGTGGCTAATGTATTATTTGTTGGCATTGCTTAATGCACTTATTGATATATATTTACAATAAGCAAAAAACTTGCTTTGCATTGCTTATTTGCATTACAAATGTCTTCTAATACCATTAGCCAGGTAATTTGTGTGTGTGTGCGTTTACAAAATATATTGGAAAAAAATGTAGGTCTCCACAGAGTCTGTCTCAAGCTGGTGTCAAACACATTTCTCTTCACCACCTCCCACATCTATTATTCATAACCTTCACTAATTATCCCACATAAAATTAAACATGCAGCCCTTACAGAATTCTTGAAGGATATCACTGCTGGCTGTGTCTGTAAAACAGTCGCAAAATTGGATTAATGTCCAGTAGTTTGAAGGATGCATCAAATAGCTATTGGAAATGTAAGATGTGTTCATTTCTGACTGGGTTTTGTTGGGAAAGTATAGTGAAAAGAATAGTGAGTGAGAAAGAGAAGAAAGAGGATCCATGAAGAAAGAGCATGCAGAGGCAGGGCAGCGCTGCTATTTCCAGCCCCATCTGTCAGTGCCCATTAGGAAAGCAATCCACCAGAGGAGAATGGGATCATATAGGCTGAGGCACTACGCTGTGTCGCCCTCATAAATTTCAGGGAAGAAAGGCTATGAATAGGAATTTTCCAAACAGGATGTAGCAGGCCATTGTCTGCACTCAAATCAGCATTCAGACATACTTTATAGCTGAATTGGGCCCCGTTGACCTTGCTAAAGGCTCTTGATGAATATCACTGAAAAATGCCTAACATCTGGAGAACAACTGGATATAGACAAGCAAGAGTTTGGATATTGAGTGGTCTTGTCTGCAAGGGCTTGATTTTATTATATAGGATGAAAGTGGATGCATGCTGAAGAGTCTTGACAGCAAGTATTTTTGAAGGACAGAAATGTTGTCATTGTGCTCAGATGGTATGCAAATCAGATATTTGGATCAGAGATTTAAAAATGTTTTAAAGCAAAATTTAAAAAAAGCATTTCTATTGACATTCACACACACACACACACACACACACACACATACATACATATATATATATATATACATATATATAAAAATATGTTTATAAATAAATATACATAAAATAATATTTAATAGAATTATAAATACATTTTTACGTATATATACATATGTGTGTGTGTATGTATATATCATTTGCACTTATATATTGTTGCTCTTTTGTTAGTTTTGACTGCTTTCATCTTCTCATTGTCACAATGCAAACATTTTGAGGAGTCTTTGACAACGTTTTAAATGAATAGTGTAAATTTAGTACAAGTTTAATTGAAAGCATTTGTGGCATAATGTTGATAATAAAATTAAGTTCTACTTGTCCCTCCTTTAAATAAAGCAAAGATCTAGATGACAGTGTAGAGCTTACAATATAAGTGAATGGGGGCCAATTCATAAACTTTAATATGCTCACTGTTTCCATTGTATAACCACACGACATAAACAATATGCATATTAACATGATTTCAGTGTAAAAAGAAAAATAATCCTTCATTAACCTTTTCTGTGTAAGGTTATATCCGACTTTTTTGCTGACAAATAAAATGCCTGTTAATTTAAGTGCTTTTTATACAATTCTAACTTTTCTTCTTTTTTTTAAGAAGAAAACTTTATATTTTGTCATAGTAAACACATGTTGTGTGTTGAACCAGGAATAATCCTTTAAAGGTCCACCCAAAATGTAAAATTCTGTCATCATTTACTTACCGTCACGTTGTTTGAAACCTGTGTGACTTTTTTTCTTCTGAAAACCACAAAATAAGATGTTTTGAAGAATGTGCTTTTTTTCTTCTGAAAACCACTAAATAAGATGTTTTGAAGAATGTTGGTAACCAAACGGTTCCTGTTCCCATTGACTTTCATTGTATGAACAATAATATATAATGAAGGTCAGAGGAAACCTGAAGTGTTTAATTACCATCATTCTTCAAAATATCTTCTTTTGTGTACCGCTGAAGAACTGAAGTCATTCCGATTTGAAACGACATGAGGGTGAGTAAATGACAGAATTTTGCTGTAACTGTGATGAAGTGTAATGATATGAACCTCCACCAGGTGGCAGCAGTATACATCAGCATGGGTGCCAAATGTGAAATCATGTGGCTTTACCGTGATTGAATGTTTTTTTTTGTCACCAATAGCACTACAGTAGCCCATTTACTGTAGATGTATATGTACAAGGTCCTTAAAAGTACAGTGACCTTTTCTGTGTGCCTGCGATCCCTTCCGTGCCTTTAAACACTACACAATACATTACAGTCAAACCATTGAATTCTTGGATTAGTCTTTTCCCTGAGGAATGGCCATAATGATTTTCTTGGTCATAAGCAAGCCATAACTCACTTTAAATTCCCCATATTTTCTATCATGAAGAATTGCTGTGTTTGAAAATGTCTCAGAGATGTGCTTGAGCATTTTGTGACGTGTTTACATTCCAAGGCCAGATAAAATCTCAGCGTGATTTGTCTCTGCTCTTAACACATGTCTTCAGTTTTGCTGCAAAGCTGTTGCTGTTCATGGCTGGCCAAAATCAACATATGTAAACAGAAATTGTGTAAATGGAAAAGATGATATATATATATATTTTTGATAATAACCTGTTCACTTTGGCTAAAAATGATCTCCAGCTGGATAGGGTTTCGCTGCCTTAAACACTTAATAAATATATGTCTTGGATAGCATGCATGAAAATTTGTTCAGTGAAATAAACAGTGTATATATACAGTATATGTATATATATATATATATATATATATATATATATATATATATATATATATATATATATATAATAGGGACATATACATTTGTTGCCAGTATTTTTTGTATTATCAACAAATTACGTGTCAGTTAACATGTTTGACAATGGTTGGTAGTTTTATTTATTATTTCTTTTTATGTCAGCTAGATATCTAAGCGGGCAGTTAATTTATTTAGTTTTTGCCAGATTAAGTTACAATGTGTGCCTGACTTTATGCCAATGCACAAAAGATTATATTTTGAAGAATATTGATAACCAAAAGATTGACGGTAGCCATTGACTTCCATGGTAGTCAACGTCAACTGTTTGGTCAACATTTTTCAAAATATCCTCTTTTGTGTTCAGCAGAAGAAAGAAACTCATACAGGTTTGGAACAAGTGGAGGGTGAGTAAATCATTTTCCTTATTCATTTTCTTTTTTGGGTGAACTATCCCTTTAAAACTATGGCTCCTGTGACACTAGGCCCAAATAATGTGCCTCTCCCTGCTTAGATATTGAGTCATGGGAACAATGGATCTGTAGTAATGTGTGCAACCGCCACAGATGAGGTGTGCCTGCTGACTAGTAAAGGTGGTGTGTGTGTAGATGAGTTTGTGAGTGTTAGGGAGGGTCTCCGGGGCGTTGATGATAGATTAAACAGAAGCGCCCCACCGTGCCCCTAGCTCCCCTCCTGTCATCCTCACCCCTCAGCACCCTAATAGAGGCTGGCATGCAGAAATGAGTTGCCATGGCAGAGTGTATTATTTTTGAAATGCTTTCACACAGGCGGTCCGCAGACGCCGGGACGTACTACTCACTCCCGCATGCTTTAATGTCATCTGCCGGCCTTGAAATTGCTGTGTCTAATTGTTTGCCACCTGCCACCAAATGAGCTGCCAGACGTGGACAGGCTTCTTGGATTGTCTGTCAGAAGCTCAATAGATAGGGAGTGACAAAAAAAAAAGCCTCAAACACAGGAGAGATCAGGAAGACTCGCATATCACAGTTTTTCTGGGACTTTCCAAAGGTGAATTTTTTCAATTAGTTTTGAATAACCAGGAAGCTGTGTTTGCAGATGGGGCCGGCACCATGAAGGACTTGCTTTAGTCAATTTAAATCAAGAAGAAAAACTTTAATACATTAACATCAGTCCGTATCAATGCTAATGGATGGTATGCTAATAAACTGAGTGATACAAAATAAGTTTGCCATTATATGAGACCAACACATATAGTTATTGTTAATGTTCATTTATGCACTGAGACTGTTTGTAATCCTAATAGCCATTTCAAATAAAACATATAAACTATTTGCATCATTCAAAGTCTACCCGAGGTTAATCTGTGCTTTATTCAAAGTAAGTCAATTTTAAAAATCCTATTAATAAAATATGCACAGGATAATTCATACATCATTCACAAGCTGTGTCTAATTGTTTGCCACCTGCCACCAAATGAGCTGCCAGACGTGGACAGGCTTCTTGGATTGTCTGTCAGAAGCTCAATAGATAGGGAGTGACAAAAAAAAAGCCTCAAACACAGGAGAGATCAGGAAGACTCGCATATCACAGTTTTTCTGGGACTTTCCAAAGGTGAATTTTTTCAATTAGTTTTGAATAACCAGGAAGCTGTGTTTGCAGATGGGGCCGGCACCATGAAGGACTTGCTTTAGTCAATTTAAATCAAGGAGAAACACTTTAATACATTAACATCAGTCCGTATCAATGCTAATGGATGGTATGCTAATAAACTGAGTGATACAAAATAAGTTTGCCATTATATGAGACCAACACATATAGTTATTGTTAATGTTCATTTATGCACTGAGACTGTTTGTAATCCTAATAGCCATTTCAAATAAAACATATAAACTATTTGCATCATTCAAAGTCTACCCGAGGTTAATCTGTGCTTTATTCAAAGTAAGTCAATTTTAAAAATCCTATTAATAAAATATGCACAGGATAATTCATACATCATTCACAAGCTCCCAGCCAATGAATAATTAATGAGGAGTGTTGATTAGAAGCTTGTTTATCAGTCTAATACTATCAGCTCTACCTGTCAAATACCTGCAAGAAGCCAACATGTTATGAGTAATAATACTGTAGAAAAGCATTTCTTTGTGGATCTTAATGTTCAAAACTGTTGCAAACTGAGGTTCAAAGTCATAATTCTGTGTTGACTTTACAGTAGTATTAGAATGTCCATGTTACACATATTACTGATATGTTTAATTTATATTAACTCAATTAATAATAATTTTAGTAGTAATTATTAATATAAAGTGCTTTTGAATGTTGTTTCTTTCTTTCTTTCAAAATAAATGCATCTTGGGTGAGCATAAGAGACTTATTTAAAAATACTTTTAAAAAGTCTTACAGACCCCAGACTTTTAAACAGTAATGTATGTATTTGCATCTACAAGGATAATTCCTCATAACTCATAAAGACAATGGTACACATGTATGATTTTAAGGGTCTGTTATTCTCTGTTTGTAGTGCTCAAGGGGAAGCATGTGTCACAGAATGTTTTTGCTTCCTTGCATGCGATCTATGAGAAACTCTCTGTGTCACGCCAACATGTTAAAGAGAGCGTGCCGTCGGGACGAGTGACAGTATCCCAGACAAGTGCTCTAATGGCTCCATCCTCTCTCTGTACAGTGTCTGCTTCGAGGTCACATTGTGCGGCATCAGGAGGCTTAGCAGGTGACATTAGAACCACCGAAAACATGCAGATCTCTGTATCGGCCAGCATCTTGAACCACGTCAAGTCGTGATAAAGAAACCAGAACGATATACACACCAACAAAATATCATTCCATCTTCCAAAGCACTTGACTCTGTCATGTTTATAATATCAAACTAATCCTCTCCTGCTCTTTGCTATCCGGCTAAGGTGGGTTTCCGTGAATCTGCGAAGCTCCAGAATGTCTGTGAAGACATACAGGAGATTATCGGCGAGGTCAAGAGTTTAACACAAACTCCTGATCCTGCTCGTCTCCAGCACTATTTTCATCTCGTTAGACTGTTGCCTCTGGAAACCATGTGATTTCCTTTCACATCTATAAATAAGCTGGACAAAAGGCTAAATATAATTTCTTGAAGGCATAATTAAGTTGATTAGTATATTCAGGCCCTTTTTAATGGTTTAATTTGTTTAGTAGTTATATATAGAGACTGTTTCTTTAATTAACTTTCCAGAGATTGCAGCTGGCCAGTGTTGAGAAGGTCAAAAAGGATGACAAGATGATTACTGGTATTGTGATTTTCTTCAACTGGAGGGGGTTGTTCCTGTTATGCCGTACCTTTTGAAGTACTTTCCGTAAATGTATTTTAAAATGAATATATTTATGTGTTTAAGGATGTTCCAAACTTTCAGACATATGATCTCGCCTTGTTCAAACACTTAAATTCATTTTACCATGACTAGAAAGAGGAGAAAAACAGAACCGGATGGACATTTTTAAATTGAATATTTTTTGTAATTTAAGAATATTTAATAGTAGTATGTAATCCAATATAGTGAGATATAATGGGGCAATGAGTATGCACTGTATTGTAGGAATAACCCATAAGGTTTTCTAAGGTGAGAACCTCAAAACTGCACCACTATAGCAACAGCAAATTTCTGCAACACACCTGGAAAGTATCTTCTGATGAAATTCGCTCCGAGTTTGACATTATGTCAAGTCACAGCAGAGGACAAACAGCAGAAAAGAGAAACATACCCAAAACCCAGCAGTCACTGCTTTTGATTTTACTGTTTGTTTGTCCTGAGCTCTCATTCTGTACAGTCGCAAGGCAAGCACGGGCCGGCAGGAGAGCAGGATGTTTACTTTGCCTGCAGGTCTTTCCCTTGCCACTGCGACCATTCAGTCTATCCACTTTCATCCAGCCTGACTGGACTGTGGAAAACAGCCGTCAATCTCCCTCCAGCTTAAGCAACTGATTTCACAAGCAATCGTGTATTTATTGTTGCAGGTGAAATGTTTTTATTTTGCTTTGTTAGATGTGTTTCTTTTTCGCTTATACAGAATCTGGAAGCTTTTGCGGGTGACTTGCCGTCCCTTCTGGGAAGTGCTTGGTAAAATCCTAGCTGGCTGCTTAGGTGTTTACACATCCGCCGATCCCAGTACATTGTTGTGGCCTGGTTACAAGAACAGTTTGCCAGCCGTATCAAATCCAAGGTACAATTAGTAAAAGATTGTGTATAATTTATTTTCCTCCCTCTCGCAGGAGTGTGGTGGTACAGGCCAAGAAGCCTCTGTCGGTGAATACAGTGGGCAGTTCAGGCTCCAGCAGCACCCTGACCTCTGCTAGCACCCCGAACATCTTCGCTGCTGCTTCATCCGCTACGCCCAAGAGTATGATCAACACTACAGGTAAGCATTGCTCTGATTTATATCTCGTTACAATCTTACCTAACCTCTTCTGGAATGTTGTTAATTATGGTAACTTTGTAAGGACAGAAAAGTAGATATAATGCTCACAGCTGCTCTCTGTGTCGTTAATGAGACGCTAATTTGAACGTGCAAGTGCTTAAGTGAATTTCCAGTGAAATGCACGCTCTGCTCTGCTATTCCTAGAATAATTCAAGATGTCATTCCTAAAATAATTCAAACTCAGGAAATTAGATTTGGTGATTATCTCGATATCTCCTGCAATCTTTTACTGGAATAATTTATTTAAAAATTTAAAATGGCAAAAGATTTGGTCTTAACAACAAAAATAGTTTCTCACCAATAAAGTAAAAGAAGTGTCTTTTAAAATAATAAATACATTTTACCCTGTTAAATATTTTATGATTAAATATAAAACCAATATTGATACAAGATGCTCATTTTGCCAAGTTCACACAGAAACTGTCTATCATTTATTTTCCAAGAGTATGATCAACACTACAGGTAAGCATTGCTCTGATTTATATCTCGTTACAATCTTACCTAACCTCTTCTGGAATGTTGTTAATTATGGTAACTTTGTAAGGACAGAAAAGTAGATATAATGCTCACAGCTGCTCTCTGTGTCGTTAATGAGACGCTAATTTGAACGTGCAAGTGCTTAAGTGAATTTCCAGTGAAATGCACGCTCTGCTCTGCTATTCCTAGAATAATTCAAGATGTCATTCCTAAAATAATTCAAACTCAGGAAATTAGATTTGGTGATTATCTCGATATCTCCTGCAATCTTTTACTGGAATAATTTATTTAAAAATGTAAAATGGCAAAAGATTTGGTCTTAACAACAAAAATAGTTTCTCACCAATAAAGTAAAAGAAGTGTCTTTTAAAATAATAAATACATTTTACCCTGTTAAATATTTTATGATTAAATATAAAACCAATATTGATACAAGATGCTCATTTTGCCAAGTTCACACAGAAACTGTCTATCATTTATTTTTGGTCATGTTTCTATACTGAACATCTATGGAAAGATATTGAAGCATTTATTAAAGATAATATCCAACAAGATTTATTGGTTACTTTTAAAGATATTATTTTTGGACACTTTGATTCTGATTCTAATAAAAACAAAGCTTGTTTTGTTATAAATTTAATTAATTTTCTTGGCAAATTCTATATCCATAAATGTAAATTCACCAAAAATAAACCAATGTTTCTTGTTTTTTTTTAAAAGAATTTAAAATGTATCTTAATACTATTTCATCCTCTGTAAATAAGAAAGCGAGAAGAACAACCTCAATTTGTAATGACTTTAATTTTATACTCTAATTGAAATATAAATGAATATCTTACCCTCATGTTTTTTTTCCTTCCAATTTTTATTTTCTTTTTCTTTTTCTTCTTTTTCTTTTTTTTTGTTCTGTATTTTCAGATGACATTGTACATATTGTTGTTAAATGTTGTGTACTCTATACAAAGTTGTATATCTTTAATGTTATCTTTGTGATGTTTGCATTCATAATAAAAGGGGAAAAAAAAGAAATTAGATTTGGCGGCATCGGGCGGTTTGTCCACTAGAGGCCCCCCCTCACTATGTATTGCTTTCTCACACTATAGAAAAAAAAGACATGAAGATAGGATCTATATGAAATTTCAAGGTTGTTATGCAGCCACATGGAGACTATAAGGAAGTCCCTTTTCAAGCGTCCCCCTCAGGGTGCACACTGTGAACACTGTAGATTTTTCTATTGAGACTGGAGCTGTTAGATCTACCTTATTGAGTGTGAAATTGTATGTGTTTATTGCTCTAGGCAGGACATTCTGGCCTGAAAACATAATATTTGATTCTATGGGATTCATTGAAAATATCTGTAATTGTAAAATGTTTCCCCATTTATTTCATTCATTTCAGTATATTGGTAATTGAAAGCCGATCCTTCCAGTTTTTATTTTCTTTATCTTTTTCTTCTTTTTCTTTTTTTTGTTCTGTATTTTCAGATGACATTGTACATATTGTTGTTAAATGTTGTGTACTCTATACAAAGTTGTATATCTTTAATGTTATCTTTGTGATGTTTGCATTCATAATAAAAGGGGGAAAAAAAGAAATTAGATTTGGCGGCATCGGGCGGTTTGTCCACTAGAGGCCCCCCCCTCACTATGTATTGCTTTCTCACACTATAGAAAAAAAAGACATGAAGATAGGATCTATATGAAATTTCAAGGTTGTTATGCAGCCACATGGAGACTATAAGGAAGTCCCTTTTCAAGCGTCCCCCTCAGGGTGCACACTGTGAACACTGTAGATTTTTCTATTGAGACTGGAGCTGTTAGATCTACCTTATTGAGTGTGAAATTGTATGTGTTTATTGCTCTAGGCAGGACATTCTGGCCTGAAAACATAATATTTGATTCTATGGGATTCATTGAAAATATCTGTAATTGTAAAATGTTTCCCCATTTATTTCATTCATTTCAGTATATTGGTAATTGAAAGCCGATTTTACGTACCTCAGCTTTGAAGGACCGATTTAAGCATCCTGCTATAATTCTTTTTGTGATATTATTTTTTCCTTAAGAGAGGCTTTTAGTCCCCATTGTCCATCATAAACCTCACTGAGATCTGCTTAGAATGCACAAGGTACATTGATTTGGATTAAGGTTGAATCAGGCCAAGCTTTCACTTCCAGCGAAATCCATCAGAATGTCCCTCTTGACGTTTCCCCTCATCTTGGTGTATTTGCTTATGGGTGGACACTCATCTCTGACATGCCGATTGATGGCTGCATAATAGATTTCCCATCCTCAGATGTCCCGTGACAGCTTGTGGTTTCACAGGATGACAGTCCATTGCTGTGATGTATCTATCAGAAGCTCCCTGCTGCACAGGGTGCTGTGGACACTGGCTTTGACAGAGAGAGAAATAAGAGGAATGTAAGATGGTGCTTCACGTTCTCAGAGGGAGGTGAGAGTAATAGGGATGATTCTCAAAGCTTGTGCCTCTATAGTTATGTTGTTACCTGATGAAAAACCAGAAAGAGTATTTGATTTTAGTGCAACTGAGGGTTTAGTTGACAGTTGGTGGGGATATAAATTGAAAAACTGCACCAAGAGTTGTTTTCAATGTCTAATAATGTGTGAGAGAAATATTTATTTATTTAGAAATACTTATTTAAAAATAAATGTTTATATTTTCCCCTAAATTCAAATTTTACACCAAAAACTTTGTCTGAATTTAGTCAATTTTTCTAACCTTTGATTTCTTTCTTGTTGTCTCTCAGGAGCCACAGATGCGTCTACCTCCTCTTCCTCCAGCTTTGTGAATGGAGCCACCAGCAAGAATCTGCCTGCGGTTCAGACTGTGGCCCCCATGCCTGAGGACACCATGGAGAACATGAGGTGAATCCCAGGATGTCCCACAATGTGTGTTGAGGTCTAAGACAGACAGCGGGGTAGAGATTCAGCTTGATGTTTATTATAAAATGGGATGGTTGGATGATTGGATGAGTTGCTTTTGAAGCCATTGTGAAATATCACACCAGATGTAATTTTATGTGAATGAAAACAAGGCTGTGAGGACACTGTTCTGTCTTAAGCTTAGGGATGCACAATATATCAGTACCATATCAGATATAGATTTTTATTGGAAATTGAAAATTGACCAATATTGGATATCTAATCGTGCATGATAATTCCCCTATTTTTATATTTACATTTAACAGTCAAAACAAAAGTTTGAAATAATTACGATTTTATTAAAATAATGTTTTATGATCATTTATTTGATAAAAATATTGTATGATGAAATATTATGACAGTTTAAAAGAACTGTTTCTGTTTTATTTTAAAACATAATTTATTCCTGTGATGGCGATGTCTTCAGTGTCACATGATCTTCCAGAAATCATTCTAATATTCTGATATTTTTGATCAAATAAATGCATCCTTGGTAAAAAAAATCTTAATTATATCAAAGTTTTGACTGGTAGTGTATACAACCTTTGCTGTCATCTAATGTAAAATCATCTTTAAAATACTAATAAATTAATAACACTTCAATAGTACCATATCAGATATAGATTTTTATTGGAAATTGAAAATTGACCAATATTGGATATCTAATCGTGCATGATAATTCCCCTATTTTTATATTTACACTTAACAGTCAAAACAAAAGTTTGAAATAATTACGATTTTATTAAAATAATGTTTTATGATCATTTATTTGATAAAAATATTGTATGATGAAATATTATGACAGTTTAAAAGAACTGTTTCTGTTTTATTTTAAAACATAATTTATTCCTGTGATGGCGATGTCTTCAGTGTCACATGATCTTCCAGAAATCATTCTAATATTCTGATATTTTTGATCAAATAAATGCATCCTTGGTAAAAAAAATCTTAATTATATCAAAGTTTTGACTGGTAGTGTATACAACCTTTGCTGTCATCTAATGTAAAATCATCTTTAAAATACTAATAAATTAATAACACTTCAATATAATCTGTAGCTAAAATATCAATTTTTCATACTGTAAATTATAATGTTGCCTAAATTAACTTGTAGCTGCAAACATTTTATTTTATATTTATATAGACAAAGTAGTAAAAAACATGAAAATAATTGGTGTTGTATCCCTAATTAATTAACCTAATTTTCATAATTTCCAAATCTTAACCCTTTTTTTTGTTGTTGTTGTTTTTGTTGTTGTTGGAAACTTGAAAGACATTTTTCATGTTTTGTTCGGGGAAAAAAAATTGACACAAAGGTATACAGATTTATTGTTAAATTATTAATAATGAATTTAATTATTTATCAAACATTAGTGTCTTATAACCACCGTTTGGGGGAAAAAAACTTCACCGTTAAGCATGCAGTCAAATTTACAAAACTTGTCAATAAACATTTGAAATTGTTCTAGTGATTTTTAGTTTGGAATAGTTTTTTTTTTTTTTCAATGTTTTAAAGTTAAATACTATTACTATTTGAATATATTAAAATGTAATTTATTCCTGTAATGCTGAATTTTCAGCTTCAGTACTGAAGTCTTAAATGTGACTGGGGCATATTTGTAGCAATAGGCAAAAATACATTGTATGGGTCAAAAATATAGATTTTTCTTTTATGCCAAAAATCCTTAAGATATTAAGTAAAGATCATGTTCCATGAAGATAGTCTGTAAATTTCCTATTGTAAATATATCAAAACTTAATTTTTGATTAGTAATATGCATTGCTAAGAACTTCATTTGGACAACTTTAAAGGCGATTTTCTCAATATTTAGATTTTTTTGCACCCTCAGATTCCAGATTTTCAAATAGTTGTATCTCGGCCAAATATTGTCCTAACAAACCATACATCATAAGCTTGTTTATTCAGTTTTCAGATGATGTATAAATCTCAATTTCGAAAAATTGACCCTTATGACTGGTCCTTCAGAAATCAAGTGTATATGATTTCACACAATACCCTTTTAACATGGTACAATAACTGCAAAACGTACCCTTAAATGGCGTATTGCTTTATTTGAGTGTGTCTGTGAGTGGGAAGTACTTCCTCCGTCAGCACCTCATCAGATGAATTTGAGTTTATTCACTCAGCCATGCTAGTCCTGAGTTTGTATTATCACTGCCACAAGAGGGGGTCAGAACTCAGGCTTGTTTTTTCATGTTTACAGACATTGTGCCTTTCCTTTGTTTAGGGCAATGGGCGAGAATCATTGTATTTTTTTTATTGTTGTGGTTGCAACAAACAAGACAACCCCACACCTTACATATTGCCTGTCCTCTCTCTCACTGCCCACCACGGGTGTTTGAGCTGTCAGAGAGGGCTGTGCGAGCTCTAATGCAGAGAAATCAGTGCGCATAGGTGTTTTGGGGAGTGTGTGGAAACCGTGCTGACCTTGGCTCCATCCTTTCACCTCGTTTAATGCTTTGTGACAGACATCTCACAGACACGCCACCGTCTGACTACACAGGAGAAAGTGCGCGTGTGTGTGTGTGTGTGTGTGTGCGGCTCTCTCTCGTGCTCTCCGGGGGCCTCTACACTTCACACACACACATATACACACACACACTCTTTGTGGTTTCTCTGCCGAGCCAGGAATCGCAAATCAGTTGCCATGGCAGCGGTAACCGACAGCACTTATTGGGAGTGTGAAGTCAATGATGAAACTGTCTGGATGCAGAGGCTGTGATGCCTAACCGCACTCCAAGAGACAAGGGATGGGTTTCACTGTCGCTGCCTGTGTCTCATTAGTTTTTCTTGATTTTTTTCCCCACTTATTTTCCGCACTTACTTTCATGACACAATACCCTTTAGTGTTGATTTTTTTTTTTTTTTTGCAATAAGCACACCAAAAAGGAAATGCAGTATTCTCAAAGCTCACAATCTAATTATCATCAGATTTAAAACCAATACATGCAAACCCAAGTAAATTTGCATGCTTATACAACAAAATCCCTTGGAGTTTTGCTCAGCATCTCAGTGTTAAGGTTTTATTGTGGTACCCAAGCCTCAAAATACTGGTTTTGCGCAAAATATTTTTAAATGCTAGTATAGTAAATATGCTTGTACTCTAAGTACTGATAGCTACTTGTATTTTATCTGTGTAGAATTAAGCTTGAATCGGTATTATGTGTTTAATAACTTAAAATAACAAATAATGGACTGTTATTTAATAACTTAAAATAATTCATGCTGCCATATAAGGACTGTACTGTAAAAAGTATTACAAGTTACTAACAAGTAGAACGTAGAGAGCATACTGTTACAAACCTTTAGAGACTTTTGACTGATTTTATATTTCTTAAGTGAATTTAAAAGATTTAAAAGCTTTGATTCTCAAAATTAAATTTGCATGCAAATATAAATTGAGGCTTGACAAAAATAAGTTTGTAAATATCTAAATTTCTTCATTGATTCCTCATAAAATGTATGGGACTGTGCTTTTTTCGCAATTCCAACAAGAAGTATTAAATACTAACAAGTTAGCTTTCATTTAATGTTAGTGCCACTTGAAAAATTAGGGTAAAAATAGCAGTAAAGTCACCCATTTCTGCTCATTTCTCCTTTGTGTTTTTGGTCTTGACTCTGTGTTTTGGTGTTTTATGTTAATTTAGCTCATTGTCAGGACCCCATGCTGTACTGGAGCCGGCCAGTGCCATAAGCAAGAACAGCTTCCAGTGTGCCTTAAAAAACCACAAACATGCTTATTTTCTAGTGGGGTTGGACTCCTGTAAGACACATGTAGTTCTCTTTTCTTTTCTGCAAACTGGCTTTGTACTTTGTCTTTGTTGTCGGAGCCTAGAATGTTCACTCTGAAGTTATCTGCAACTGGTTATTACTATGTGGCTTTGGTTTGGTCTGTATGGTGTGTTGGTGTGCCATTTTACTGGTTCAGTATTAATCACAATTCATGGTTTTGTCTTCAAGTGAACCAAAATACGTTTTCGCTGTTCTTTTTATCCAGCTTCTATAATTAATTTACTTTGTTTGTCCACACAGTATCACCACTAAACTGGAGCGAGCTCTGGAGAAGGTGGCTCCATTACTGAGAGAGATCTTTGTGGACTTTGCACCTTTCCTCTCTCGTACACTGCTGGGCAGTCATGGGCAGGAGCTGCTCATTGAAGGTACTGATGCTGAGCTCTTCATCTCTCTTTGTCTTTCTCTTTTGCGCATCCTTGTGTATTACATGATCATGCTGATACAGGAGGGTGTAGGCTGAAGATACATTTGTTTGATTTTATGTTTCTTACCTGAATAACCTTTTGTTTTAAAAAGCTTGTGCGTTTATAGAATATATATCAATGTATATACACTCATATCAATGTTTTTGTATGCACTTCAGAACTCAGCATAAAGGGACATGCATGCAAAATGAAATAAACTTAGAAAATAAATACACATTATGTATTGGTTTATTTGGTGTAAATATATATATATATATATATATATATATATATATATATACTGATGCAAAAGTTTGGCATCAGTTAGATTTTAAAATAAATTAATGCAGTTTTTGAAAGTAATACTTTATAATACTAAGTAATACTGAATAATACTTTTATTTAGCAAGAATGCATTCAATTGATCAAAAGTGACAGTAAAGACATTTTTAATGTTACAAAAGTTTTCCATTTCAAATAAATGTAGTTTTTTTTATCTTTCTATTCATTAAGAATCCTGATAAAAATGAATCACAGTTTTGACAAAAATATTAATCAGAGCTGCTGTTTTCAACAGACTGGAGGTTGCTGCTGAAAATTCAGCTTTGCCATCCCAGGAATAAATTACTTATAAATATAAATGAATATCTTAATATCTTAGAAAACAATTATTTTAAATTGTAATAATATTCCACAATATATGTAAATGCAGATTTAGTAAGTGTATATATATTATTTATTTATTTTTGTTGGTGCATGGTTGTGTTTTTTCCTTTTTTTCCTAATCTTTGAGGTGCATAGAGCTACTTTTGGAATTCACTTCCCTTCTCTAGCTGGGTGCGATGGGCCACACACACACATGCACACGCTTTTTCTCTCACATGGCAAGGCAACCTCTCTTTGAACAGGAACCCACACTCCAGGCTCTGTTTTGTGGCTTTTTTACCTTTCAGCCTCAGTGCCAAATCATAGTGTACGTCCCCCTCACAGCTCAAAGCCAGTTTGTTCCGACTAATGTAGCTCCACATTACGGCACGCTGGAAATATGCGTGTCTACAGCTCAGGCAGCCATTTCATGAAAGAAATACTCAGAAACACATTCTGCCCTGGATTCAAACTCCCCTTTTTTTATGAAAAATAACAGCCAGTTTTCTGTTTTTAACTTTGTAGTCGTACTTAATCCTGTCCACGTTAGGAAGCATCACAGTTTAGGCTGCCTGCTGAAAACAGGCGAAAGGTGACAATTTCATGACTTTGCTGTCATTGAGTCAATGTTTTGCTCTGAGATGGTGTAGTTTCAGCCTCTACCAGAAGGGGCAAACTAGACCTTGCTAAACCTGTCAAACCTTGACCCCATGGTTTTGTAAGATTTAATTTCCCTAAACAAATTCGGGGTGATTACTAGGGCATGGCTATGAGGTTGCAAAAGTGTGCTTGGTGTTTTTAGCTCATTGCTATGTGGTTTGAAGGGTGTTGTAGGTAGCTGCTAGAGCCTAAACAAATTTAAAGAAATAGTTCACCCAAAAATGAAAATTGTGTCATTATTTACTTCCAAACCTATTTGACTTTATTTTTTCTGTGAAACATAAAATATATATTTTTAAATGTAACATAAATGTAAATTTACATTTATGCATTAGGAAATGCTTTCATCCAAAGTTTTTCTCCATTGCCTGGGATTCAAAATCTTTGATCTTGGTTTTGCTAGCACCATGCTCTATGTAGATATACGTGTATGTATGTATATATATGTGTGTGTGTGTATATATATATATATGCAGTTTAAGTAAATTTTTGACTACGTTTTAGTTACTTATTTTAGTAACTTCCTCATATTTTCTGGCCATTTTATAACATGTTTACAATCTAAATATATATACATTATTTAAAATATACACAGTATATTTTTAAAATGCCATTTACCAAATATATATTTTAAGAGTAGAAATATATTTTCTTGCTCATTTAACTTCATTTTGAGATTTACATTATTCAATTATTATAAACATAATTATTTTATATAATATAATAAATATTTTGTACATTATGTGTGTGTGTGCGTGTGTGTGTAAAAATTACATTATTAATTTTTCCAACTTGAAATGCCGTTGACTGTGCTTGTGCATTGCCATCCTCCCCAAACGAACCCCAATCCTGAACACACAACAGCGACTTCCTCATAGATGACTCTTTACCCTCGCATTAATTTGTCCAGTATGTTAACACCATCCCATGACCAGAAGAAATGATATCTGTTTTCCCACCTCCTTCCCTTCCTCTCTTCCTCAACCTCTCACAGCTGAAATACTGTTCACTTGGTGCAAAGGCACCCTATTTACCCATAATTACCCTTCATCCATCACTCGGCCCGGCACTAGGGGTCAAGCCCCTGCCCGGCCTCCCTCCAGACACTCGTTCACTGGGGGCAATTATGCCCCGCTCGCCCTCGGACAGCCTCCCGACACTTGGAGCTTGAGTGCAAGGCTCCTGGGCGGAACACTGCACTTCTTGTGAGAGCTGGCCGCCCAACTCTGCGACGCTTCTGCCCTTTGACAATGTCACATTCACACCAGTGAGGCTTAACTGGAAAGCGCGGCGACTTGCTGTTTAAATAGAATGCATTTAGTTTGTCCAGCAGCGTGATCCAGAGGTCAGGCCTGCAACCTGACTGAAGAGAGGGACCCCGGTGGGGAATCACCGTGTGTACGGCCCCAACTCACCCTCATAAATGAGACAGAGAGATTGTTGGGACTTGAACTCTTGGCCTCTGAAATATTACGGTCATAACTTCACGGACTGAATGGTTTAGGAGCGATCATTCATGGTGAAAGGCTGTTTAAGTGGGTAACGAGACAAGTGGTGCTGTCAGACAAAAGTGAGCTCAATTTAAAGCTCAATGTACAGGACTGTTTTTGCCACAGATTGTATGTATACAAATTTAATTAATGGGATTTACAGTTTTGATTTAAAAATGTAGAATGTCTGAAGAAAATGAGTACTTTTCTGTGCAAAATTATCTGCCATGATTCTGGAGTGGTTGCCATGGCATAGATATGAAGTTGCTAAGGTGTTCAGGGTGGTTTTTATTACATTACTATTTTGTACAATTCCTGCCAGTACTGAGAATCGAACCAACGATCTTCAGGTTACAAGTCTGACTCTCTAACCATTAGGCCACAACTGCCCCACTTCCTTTCACCCCTAACCTAAGAACGAAAAAAAACTTTGCCGTGAATATATCAGGGCCTTTACACATGACAGAATTTTTTGTTTGTAGTTTTGTAAAACTTTCCCACACCGTACTGGTTCGGCTTTGTTTGCATGTCCCATAAGTGTGTCGTCTTCTATTGGATAGCCGGGAGGCTGAATTACAGTCTTGCGCTACAGCGCCACACCGGTCAAACCGTGTTATTGCAGGCCCTTACATCATATGAGATCAAACAACTAGCCTATTCAATAACCCATTTTTCAGCTTTATTGTCCACCAAATGAAAAACGTAATCCCTACCTGTTAGAAAATGAACAGCACACATCTTCTCATCAACCCACACAAATGAAGCTATAATTTACGCAGGACTAGTTACATGGCAAAGTTTAATACTTAGGTGGAGTTAGGTATTTGTTCCGATTTCTAACCCTAAATATGGGCATTAGTAATAATAATGCAATAGTAAATACTCTTCCATCACTTCCATGGAGTCTGATTACACATGCTGAGAGCACTCTCTCTCTCTCTCTCTCTCTCTCTCTCTCATCTTTCTCTCATTAGAGTCCTGTCTCTCTGACTCTGCTGGCTCATGCAAACAAGGGCATCAGCTATGTGCTGTGTTTGTATGTTAATGCAGGTGTGCGTATGTGAGTGTGTGTGAGGGAGAACGTTTGTCTTATATGGCTGTCAAAAACTGCACATGACATTTACAATTAACTTGTTTATCAGTGAGGTTAACCAACTGTCTTTTATATTCAATGAACAACAGGCTTTTCATTTAAAACTACTATATTTTACTCAAACGACATCTGATTTCAAGAGAATGGTGCCTGTATGAGGAAAACAAGATGTGACTATATTCACTCGTCTATTTAAATTCATGCCCATACATTTTTTTTAGAAGATGCATTGTTGTATCTTTATAAGTGGCGTCCTTATTCTAGCAAGGTTTGAGAAATATGCAAGCGAGGCCATTGATCTCACACTGGCATGCAGCAGATGACCTTTGACCACTCAGGAGACACTATTAGTGACCCCGCGAGCTGTTAGCTATCTGAGTCATAACGCACAGACGACAAGAGACGTTCAGTCTCAAATTCAAAACATAACTCATCAGAACTGTCCTGGATGTTTGTGTGACATTAAATGGTTGCATTTTGGGACTGTTCCGTTCATCTGCACCATACACTTTTCTGAGGCCATGTGGATGGCCGGCCCTTGACTAACCCTCGCAGATGTAGTTATGATAGGTCAAAACAAATGTAAAAACAAACAACCTCTATGGTTTGTTTTGCTTTTGTGTGTGTTTATGAATATGATGAAGCAGAATGATTCATTTCTGTGTCTTTTTTTCTTTCTGTTCTCTTCTAGGTCTGGTGTGCATGAAGTCAAGCACCTCGGTAGTGGAACTAGTTATGTTGCTATGCTCTCAGGTGAGTTGTCACTCTTTTTCTGTTTTATTTATCTATCTAATGTTGTTTTCCAGCATGACACATTGTCTATTGTTAATGGTCACAGCGAGCTGCTTAAATATTTGTCTGGATGACAGAAAGCAATACACAAACATGACTGGTCATTAACACATTCATTTCTCAAAGCCAACCTTAACTGAGTGTGTCAAACTGCTCAGCTTGTGATGTTAACTGATATAGTTACAAATTTATCTCTTAAAAGTCTGACATATGAAATATTAGTCTGACAAATCTTATTTTTTTAAATGAAACAGTTAATTGAACCTTTAGATTAAAAAAAAAAAAATGTTTTAGGTTGAGTATTATATTTGATACTTCAGGCTTATATTGCTCATATAACATGATATAGTGAAGATATGGAGCTCACATTCAAGGAATTTTAACATGACTTTTCTAAAAATTATGGATAATTAAGTAAACCTAAGTAGCTTCAGTCCAGTAAGGGTTCATTAAAAAAAAAGATAGCAATATAAAAGTTTTTCTTACATATAATTTATAAAAATCATTAAAGATTGGCTTTGTATAAAGGCCTTGTACTTATTAAAAAATATGAATTATCAATCAGAGGACAGAAGGCATGTACAGTAGTAGATTTTGTACAAAATCTTTTTCTGCAAATACCTTAGAAATGTGTTTATCATATATAATACAGTAGGCATTATAGGGTTAAATTATTCCATACCTTTTCCCACATTTTTCCTCCTTGGACTGAAAATAGTGTAATAGTGACTGCGGTAAACACACCGCAGTCATCTTCCCTTTAAATCTCAGTGACATATTACAGCTTGCTGACCTTCAGAGTCCCTTGTTAAGCCTTCCCTTTCAAAGGGGTCAGGGTCCCGATGTTGTAGTCAGAGCGGGAGATATTTAACATACCTTCTGTCAGCCCATCACTCTTGCACTGGGAGTCCATAAGGAAGCCATTACCTCAGCATCTCTTCTTCAGAATCCAGTCGGTCGGAGAGCTCGGCGGGGCAGGAGCTTTTAGTCATTGAATTGCACCTCTGACTCTATGAAGTCCATACCGCTAACCTCCCGACTCGAGAGTCGATCTGTACATTTGCTCTTAGTTTGTCCTGACAAAGGTGGCGTCCTCCAGACGCTGTGGCGCTCAGGATGCATCCTGCTGTTTTGCTCTTCTCTTTTTGAAGATTTCAGATGACCTTTCCCTTGTTGCATTGAACATTTGGATTTTTTCCCCCCTCATATCTCTTTTATGCCGTCTGCCCGCTTTGTTGCCACTTGGATTTATTGCCGAGTGAAGCATCACATTGAGACTCAAGCTCCTAGTTTTCTCTTCCTCCGCCCCTGTTAGACATATAATGTTACCAGAGCTCCAAGAGTTCTTGCCATTAGAAGCTCCCAGGGTAGAAACAGCCTGATATATCGATTGCCCAAAGAGGGGATGAAACCAGAGCCTGGGCCCAAAACGACTTTCAGACGTAGGAAAGTCTCTTTGGAGCCAAAGCCTTCATAACCTGCTCGCTGTAGGATCTGATTTAGAATGTTGCCCAAACCAGAGGGCTTGGGGGAAAAAAAAGGCTTGATTTTTATTTTTAGATGAGCGGGAGAGGAGGTAAAAGAGAATAAGATGAAGTGAAAGCTTTGGGGTCAGTAAATTTTTTTTATGTTTTTGCAAGAAGTCTCCTAACCAAGGCTGCATGTATTTAATGTAATAAAAAATACATTCAAATTTATAATTTTAAATAACCGTTTTTTATTTTAATGTATTTAAAAATTCAGTGTATTCCTATCAGAAGCCGTTACTCCAGTCTTCAGAATGTTCATTCAGAAATCATTCTGATATGCTGATTTGATGGTCAAGAAACATTTCTTATTATTATAAGTGTTGAAAACAGTTGGTGTGCTTAATATTTTTTGTTAAAACCACGATTATATATATATATATATATATATATATATATTTTTTTTTTTTTTTTTTTTTTTTTTTTTTTTATGGTTTTATTTTAGAGTTCTAATAGCCCTGCTAGAAATGTGATGACTCTTGTAAAATACGTGAATTGTTAACGGTAGAGTGATGTGTTCGTGATGTCAGAGGGGTCGGCATTCAGTCAAACTTGTTGCGATGGTTTTCAATAGAGGTAGCTGAAAGGTTGCAGGTTCAAACTCCTCAAGGGTTCGTCCGTGACCTTTCACCCCTGTGTTCTGGGTAAAGATGATATACTCCATTTTTTTCAGGATTTTTAATAAATAGAAAGTTCAAAAGAACAGCATTTATTTGAAATTAAAAGTCATTACTGTCACTTTTAATCAATTTAATGCATTCTGAATAAAAATAATTGATTTATTTTTGATTTCTTTTACAAAAATCTTACTGACCCCAAACTTTTGAACTCTAGTGGTGCATATATGTATGAAAACTGTTTAACTTTTTAAAATATTGTATTATTTTATATATTATGTTTATACCTATATTTGAAAAATGATGTATGTATGTTTGTTTGTTTGTTTAGTTTGTTTAGTTTATTTTCCCCCCTGTTAAATTGTGGGGCGGGTTTTGTTTTGCACCGCACAAAACACATTTACTGCCCATAATTTCCATCTGGACAACAATTTAGTTTAAGAATGTTCATGGCATTTTCTTCCATATACTGAAAGTAGATTGGGACCATGAGCTGACAATTCCCAAAATTAAAAAAAAAAAACATAATAAAGGCATGATAAAAGTAGTCTATATGGCTTGAGCACTGTGTTTCATATCTTCTGAAGTCATACAAGCAGCAATTTGAACATCTAAAGACAGGGGGGTGAGAAAATGATTTCATTTTTGGGTGAACTATCCCTTTAATAAATGCTTGGAGCACAACTGAACACATCCCACATCCCACTACGAATCATGTCGCGGTGGGAGACGTCCTTGCTGCGAGTCCAACAACCTCGAGCCTTTCCCCTTCTCATCTCCGCACTAATGCACCCAGACAGCGGGACGTTCACCGCTCGTGACCTTACGACCCGCTTTGTTTCGCGAACTGTCACTTTTATGAATAAATTAGTGATAATCATCTTGCACTTTTTTATTTATGCCTCCTAATCACTGTTATTCATCTAAGGCCGCCGACAGCCGGTGTCTCTATCCAGTCAAGTGGCAGCGGGTGCCGCAGAGGTCAGCCGGGTCTGTTTCGTTTAGCAGCTTAAACACACATAAAGGATCTAGCGTGGAGCCGGAGAGATTTACAGATGGACGGCCTCCAGATGTCGGGAGCAGCGCTGAGCAGATAAAAGCAAAGCGCTCCCTCTGTCTCTTGACAGGTTGGATTGAGATGCTGCAAATTCTCAAGAGCCATTCAAGTCTGTGGGTTACAAAGCTGGGGGAGGAAAAAAAACTGTCTGGCTGAGGTGCACAGCTCAAGCGCAAGTGCTACAACTACAATTTCTTTTCCTCCCACGGTTTTTGTGGGGCACATTTTTGGCTAATGACTGCGTTCTCAGCTGAGGACGTTTTGGCAGGCAGTTTTGACAGGAGTGCTTGACAGCTGTGACTGGAATTTGGAGGCGTAGGTTAAAAGATGATTGGAGTTTGAATGAAATTAAGTTCTTGGCTTTGAAAAAGCATGTACTCAAGGTTTCAGTGAAGCAAGGAGGTGACTTGTCAGATCATAATCATAATCATGAAGGATAAGAGAACCAACTGGCTTGCATATTTTTTTCCTGTACTTTTGAAAAAAAAGAACGTAAACAGTACAAGTAGAAATATACAAAAAGATCATAAATTTGGGATCAAATATAAAGGTTAAAGCTGAAGTACTCATTTAGTGTATGGTAAAACAGTGTTGTCTTTTTATATACATAACTATATAACTATAAAGACCTATTTATACTGCAAAAAATAAATATATAAACAAATCACATATTATCTGAAAAATATTTAAGTTTTATATTTACCTTTCTTTCTTTCTTTATTATTGTTAGCATGAATAATTAAAAAATTAATAACATTATAGTGCTTTCTATTTAAGTGACACTTATTTATTTTTATGTAATATGTATAATAATTATTTATTATTGCTATTAGTTTATTGCTATTTACGTTTAGTTGACATTGATGTTTGTTTATTGTTTTTATTTTCTGTTCAGTTGTTTACTTTATTATTTATTTACTATGTTTAATGATTTATCATCATCATCATCATACTTTTATATTTATTATTATTTTTATTTACTATGTATAGTTATTTTTCATTGTTATTATTATCACTATTGTAGTTGTTTTATTATTATATTTAATATTATCTTCTATTTACTATGTATAGTTCTTTTTCATTGTTATTATTATCACTATTGTAATTGTTTTAGTGTTGTTATTATTATTATTATTGCTACTACTACTTTCTAATAAGATGATACTTTATTTAATTTGTATAATTATTTTTGGTTATTTTTTATCATTGTTGTTTTGTTTATTTATTAAAATTTTTGTTTCCCAACTATTTTTCTTTTAACATCTCCATGGGCCCCCTTGGCGCTCCCTGGCCCGCAGTTTGAAAACCCCTGTGCTAAAATACAAGATAAACTGTCTGCATCAGCTCTTAAACCCAGTGTGTCAGCTTTTGCTAGTATAAGCCCCTCGCTGGAGATGGCAGGCCGGAAGTGATCTTCTCTTTTACATAAGGGATCGCATTACAGCCTTCTGGAGGTACATGTCATCGCTAATGCACATCACATGGACGGCATACTTGTCTGAGCCCCCCAAAATCCCCTCACAATCACACTCACCTCCCACTGGAGACCCTCAATCTCCAGCATGAAGAGAAAGAAGATAAAAAAAATGTCTCAAAAGAAGTGTGTTACAGTGCTGTAGTGCAAAGGCTACTTGAGAAGAGACAGCGGACTGGGACTTGGCTCTCTGTCATTTTCTTTTGGCAGGCCAGTGTGCCCCACATCTGCATGGATTTCCTTATTTATTTTTGTCACGTGGGTGCTGATCTACTTGAGCGGAGGCTAGTGAAGAAGCACTGAGCTGAGGCAGCCGATCCCATGCGACGAACCGCCTGACTGCGGAGTAGATAATGAATGGTGGAGGAGAAATAGAGAGAGGGAGGCATATTGGGTCAGTTACAACATTTGGAGACCAGATGCGCTTCAGTGTTGTCTCTTTCTGGCTCAGTGAGGGGTATGCTTACCAGTGTGTGTGATTTTTGATAATTTTTTTCTCAAACTTTGATAGTTTTTTTTTTTTCTAGTAGTCAGTTCAAATTATCAGTTGTGCTGTGCAGCTTTACTGTGGCTCCAGAAGTATTTTATACTAAAAGGGGTAGTTCACCTAGAAATAAAATTCTGATATCAGTTACTCACCCTCATGTTGTTTTTTTTTTTTTTTTCTAGTAGTCAGTTCAAATTATCAGTTGTGCTGTGCAGCTTTACTGTGGCTCCAGAAGTATTTTATACTAAAAGGGGTAGGGATGCACGATATATCGGCCACCATATCGGTATCGGCCCATATCGGCTCATTTTTTCTGTTATCGGTATCGGCCTGATAAGAAAATTTGGCCGATATCTTAAAGCCGATAAATAATGCATTATTTCCTTCAGAGACACTTCAGATGCGCGCTGTTCGTTTGCAGCCTTTTGTGCAATTGTACGTTGTAATATTGTGTTTATTTGATGTATATCTGATTTATCTCATATAGAATGCGTTTGGTTAAGTTAAAAGAGCGCTTCAGTTAATAAAATTCTGATATCAGTTACTCACCCTCATGTTGTTCCAAACTTCTGTTGGTTTCTTTCTTCTATGGAACACAAAATAAGATATTTTAAAAATGTATTTTTGTCCATACAATGAAAGTTGATGGGGTCCAATGGACAAAAACAGTTCTTCAAAATATCTTATTTTGTGTTACACAGAAGTAAATGATTACAGAATTTTCATCTCTGGGCAAACTATCCCTTTTGTCAAATATATGAATTTCTGTACATTATGTAACCAAATATCAACACAAGTGGAATGTTTAATGCGTGTCATGAACAGTATTTCTTTTGCAAAAAAGATGTCTGTTAGGCTTCAAATTATAATCTATACATGATTCTTTAAAAGTTAAGGGTCCAACGTGACAGTAAACAGTTTTTACCATTTACAATGTAAAAAAATTGTGTTCTTTTATACTTTGTTCATCAAAGAATCCTAAAAAAATATATGCTTATGCTTATGCTGAGCATAAGATATCTCTTTCATAAAAAATCTTCTTGGCCCAAACTTTTGAAAGACTATCCATCTATCCATCTATCCATCTATCTATCTATCTATCTATCTATCTATCTATCTATCTATCTATCTATCTATCTATCTATCTATCTATCTATCTATCTATCTATCTATCTATCTATCTGTCTATCTGTCTGTCTGTCTGTCTGTCTGTGTCATGAACAGTATTTCTTTTGCAAAAAAGATGTCTGTTAGGCTTCAAATTATAATCTATACATGATTCTTTAAAAGTTAAGAGTCCAACGTGACAGTAAACAGTTTTTACCATTTACAATGTAAAAAAATTGTGTTCTTTTATACTTTGTTCATCAAAGAATCCTAAAAAAATATATGCTTATGCTTATGCTGAGCATAAGATATCTCTTTCATAAAAAATCTTCTTGGCCCAAACTTTTGAAAGACTATCCATCTATCTATCTATCTATCTATCTATCTATCTATCTATCTATCTATCTATCTATCTATCTATCTATCTATCTGTCTATCTGTCTATCT